GCTGCGGGCAACGGGGGGCGCCGGCGCTGGGCGTCTCCTTCGTGACTCTTCGTCCCTGGCCCGGCTGCGGAAGGGAAAAATACAGGCCCGGGCAGCTGGCATGGCACGGGGGGCACAAAGGTGCCGAAAATACTCGGTTGCCTTTGCGTGCCGGTGGGTGGGGGGAAAACAAGGCTCGCTTAAAGACGGTCTTGGCTTACTAACTAAAACCAGACTCTTGCTTCCCAAGTTTTTACTCTATACGAAGCTTTCCTAAAAGAGGTTGGAATCTGATGTGGAAGGAGGATGTTGCAGCGGTCAAACGACAAGTACTTTACAAAATTATAGGGTTATTTCACACACAACATAGCAAACAAATATTGATTACTGGCCTGTGGTTTCACCTGTTAACACAAAGTAGTTTGTAACATAGGTAGAAAGTATTTGTATAATGGTTACTAAGTAATACTTGTTTGATGCTTTTTGTGTCTCTTGATAAGAAGAATGGTGAATAAATCTTAAATGTTTGAATAACCTGTCTACTGAAATTGCAATTCTTAAGCATTCCAATATGTTAATTAAGTGCATTTGGTAATATGAATGCCCATAGTCAGTCCTGTGGATGTATTCGGTAGCTGTGTGTTCTTATTATGCAATTAACCTTGATGATAAAGGGGGGAAAAAAAAGTAAGAACATAGGGAAAAATACCGGGGAAAGGATAATCGCTGGCATGTCACTCAGGTTAAGCTCCATCTAGCTGTAAACAACTCTAGGCTCTGCTGTTGACTTTATTACTGCTGCTATGAACTTCTGACATAAAAAGGTAAACGCTAAATGAGAACTCTTTTAAGATGTTGTGTATCTCAGGGCCACCATGTACAAATTCACAGTTCTTCACAGGTGGCTCAACTAACTGAGAGGGTTTGGAAGAAGAAACTGCAAAAGGATGTCTTAAGCGGCTGGGGTTAAAACATGAACAAAAGATCTTTGAGTTCTCTGTGAGGGTTAGAAGTGATCTTTTATCCCATCTCTTCACTCTGCAGTGCTGGGGTTTAGCAATAAGCTTTGGTGCTTACTCCAGTGCAAGCTTTGTAATGACAAAGGTGATCGTGTTTTAGTTGATCCAATATTCAACTGTAGCTGTGAAAGAATCAAAGACGGTTTAAAGGCAATTGGGATAAAGGGATAGTGATTATAGAAGCATGGAGTTACTACTGTAAGTTATATGTTCCCTAAGGATGCTTTTAAAACCCACAGCTGACCTACATTTTGTTTTCCTTCTGGTAAACACTGTGTGGCTGAGCACACCTTCATCAGCGAGTGATTTAAAACACAGAGTGTTTTGCTGTTGAAGGGAATTTTCATTGAACCCTGCAGAACTTGCATCTTGTACTATTCTAGTCAGTGTCTGCATTTTAAGACTTGCTGTTTTCCGCTGCTCAGTCCTGACCTGTCCAGAAAGTTAAGATTCAATGAGTCTTAATACAAATAACTTTTCTGGGTTGTCTGTATGGTTGAGAAGGTAGGGGCTCTTAGGGAGGGAGTTGCTTTAACTTACTATTGTAAAATACCATGGTTTTTTGAGTATAGAAATGACTGTTGCTGTAAAAACACCTGCATGAAGAGCTTAGCTTCAATTAGACATGACATGGGCAATGAAGGTCAAACAAATAAAGGAGAGGGAGGCGTGACTGTCGGTCACTCGGCGGTCCTGTATGAAATGTTCTCATCGTGATTCTAGTTAACTTTTCGTGACCTTTTCTTCGCCCTTCTTGTGTATGTGACATGTTAAGACAAGCTTTTTAGGAATTACTGGGATGAGGATGGTAGAAGGATTTAGGAGAATCATTTAGGGAGGTCTTCTCAGTGCTGGCTTAGCGCAGGTGTTTGGGAGGGGAGAAAAACACAGGTTGAGCTGGAGTCACAAACGCAAAAGGAGATTGAGCTGTGTATGCAAGGCTGTGCTATACAGGCCTATACAAACCTGAAATGGCTTTGGAGCCCACACAAGAGGGGGATACAGAGTTGATCCTCCTGACTTATCAGGCTGACATCTAGACCCTTAATTCTTCACATGTTTTGGTTTTAAAATATGTTTTTATCTTGTAGTAAATGTGGATCTAAGCATTCATTCTTGGTCTGCTTGGAGGTTAAAACCCTTAGTAGAAAGGGGAATTAACAAGTTTGGCATTACTCTGTGTGAAGTTGGCAATCTGATTTTAAGGAAAAAACAAAGAAGGAATGCTGTTTAACGGAATGTTGTCAACATAATGATGATTTCATAAATGTTTTAGACCAGTGATGGTCACAAAACCCAGCTTAACTTGCTCTCAGACTTTTTTTGTGTAATGACCCCACTTGCAGTTGCAACTTGTGCTTACCTAAGTGACAGAGAAGGAAGTAGAGCAGTAGTTTGCAAATACGGGACGTTACTTATGTATGGGTAACTTTGTTCTCCTTCCCAGGTACTAACAAAAATACTGCTTCTCAGAATCCTAAACCTGAAAACAGATGAGCTGCTTGAATACAACCTTGTAGCTATTGGCTGTAGTGGTGGTGGCAGCAGAGCTCAGATTTGTAGAGCCCCCAACTGTCTTAAGTGTGGTTCTGTGAAATGGCTAGGCCTAACAGCTCATTAGTGCTCCCCCAGCTTTCCTTGTGTCTGCTTATTGGCCACTTTGTGGAGTCATTTGTCTTGCTAAAGCATGAGAAAATTAACCTGAAGGTTGAGAAAGAAGTGATTAACCTTGTAGTCGAATATGCTTAGTGGAGGAGTGGGCACAAGGAATGCGGAGAGCGGCACCACTACATTTTAATTAGGTTATTTTTTTAAGCTGGTCTGTGCAGCATCAAATGATGCCTTAGTAGCAGGAGCTACTATGCCTGAAGTATGTTTGTATGTATCAAGGGAGCAAAACCAGGGATCAAACTGACATGGGTAGTAATTGACAGCAAAATACTGTAATGCAATTGCTCAGTTTTCCCTGACCTTTAAATAACAAAGCATCAAAGGATATTCATATAATAGTGGCACTAGAGAAGAAACATGAGGTAAAAGTCAAAACCCTATTTCCAAAGTTCTGCCTGAAGGCTTGATATCAAAGACCCTATGCTCATTAAAATGTGATTGTCTTGGAGTTCCCCTCTCAAGTGCCTTTGGGGAAAAAGGGGACTACTTAAGATTCTGAATTGCTTTCATGCCTTTTTTTTAGGAGTTTCCTATTCAGCCAGGACAATATATTCATACAGGAAAATCTTTAAGAACCAGGACAACCTATTGAATGCCTCTGTTCTACTGACATTATCTACTAAAAATACATACACATATATATTTTGTGTGCAAGTATTTCTGAATATCTGCTTCATGTTTACATACAATTATAATATTTTTGCACTTCTCATATCAGTTTGGTTATATATTGAACACACTTGTCTTCTAATACTCCTAGTAAGAAGTTCCTTTATTTTGTGGCTGTTCTTTCTCCTTCATTTTTCTCATACAGTCCATCGATAATCACTGCTTACTATCTTATGTCTTATCAATTTTGGGAGCTGATAACCTGTCCTTATAAGATCAGCAGTGGATTCACTGAACTCTTTACCTTTTAGAGCTGACTCAACACAATTACTATATCAATGTTCTGATACCTTCTGCAAACAATTTGTTAGGTACTTGGCTAAAGTTTTCTAGAAAGACACCTAAATGTAGTTTGTTAATAATTGATTTACATGCAAAAGAGGTTTGTCTGTGAATTCCTGCAGACTGCTAATTGAGGTGTTCGTGTTTGTATGGTCAGCTGGCTAGATGTCAGGAGTGATTTAAATGTTTATGCCTCATGTGATCTGAGGAATCTAGGGGTATCATGTGAGATGTTGTTTGCTTTCTTGTTCCTAATTTTAAACACCAGCCTTTTCTGTGGTGCTCTATCGTTGAGTCTATGAGCTACTTTGAGACGTTCTCCTTAGAGAACTGTGGTCAGAGTTTAAAATTAATTTTCTGGAAAACTTGATTTATTTTTGAAAGAAGACTAATTTATAGAACCAAAAGGATGACAGTTATTTGAGGAAATCATACCAGTAAAAAAGTTATGATAGTTGATAGATATTTTAAAGGCATTTGCATTTCAGATAAAAGCAGTAGAAAAAGTACCAGTTGGTGGCCTCTTTGCCACACAAACAGTAGCTTCCACTGCCACCTCACACACCATACCCCCTCACCCCACCCCCAGTTATTATAAGGGTACTATTTTTTCTGTTTTCCAAATGAAATTTGAAATAACCCAATTTATGGCTTTTGTTGAATGTTATTTTCTCTTTGTTTCTGGCGTGGTATTGAGGCAAGTCACTTTCCAGGGTGCAACTTTCTTATTGTCTTCTCCTGGGAACTGTGAATCAGTTATTAAGACTTAAGGATAGTGATAGGCAGGAGCATCAATGTATCCTAAAGCCAGTTATTGTAGTTCCCAGACTTGGAAAAGTCTGTAACCAGTTTTAAACTCTCAAATGAAATTTGTAAATGTGCTTTCCATAAATTTTAATCAAATGAACACATCCCAGAAGATCTATGAGGTTAGTCAGAGCAGTTGAGAAAAAAAAAAAACCCAGCAAATAATACTACAATATTGGAAGTGGATTGGGCTCATTGATGTATTAGAATGAGTTCTGTTGGGATTACAGTCTTTGTGAAAAATGAGAATATGCTAGAACTGATACATCATCAAATCTGATGGAAACACTTTTTTTTTTTTTGCTGAATAGGAAATCACACTGTATTTCCAAATGTCCCAGTTCAGAAGTCAATACACGTATTGCACAACTGCAAATTAAGGAAGCGAGGGTACTGCTTGAGATCTTTTCTTGGACATCCAGTTTTAGCTAGCACTGATGTATTTTGCAGAACTTCACTTGCTGGTTACTTTGTACAACTACAGGTTCAGTCTGCAGGCTTTAAAAAGTAAGAACTTTCTATAATGTTTCCAGTGAAAAGGCTTAGAATCTACAGATACTGGTAGATGAGAGGATGAGAAGAATTATTTACAGATTACTTTGCCCACAGATGCTTTCTCTGTATGGCCTGAAAGCAAAGGGAAATGTGTCTTTCAAATTCTATGAAAAGAAAGTTCAGAAAGGTATGTCCTTACCCTACAGAATTCATCCTCAGTGTGATCTTTTTTAACCTGTTACTTATCAAAAAGTCACTAAGTAGTTCTCCAGCCAAAATGTAAATCATTAACATTTAAATTGTGTGGGGTGAGGACTGAAGATCTTGCATGTTTCTTTCCATAATCTGAAAAATCAAAACTTGTGTTTTGTTCCCTATAGCTTCATCACGAACCCTCTTCAGCTTGCAGAATATACTTTAGAGAATAAAACATGAGTTGTTCAGTTAGTGATGAGCAGTTGCACTGTTAATATAGAAATGTAAACCTGAAAAAAGTTTTTTTCTTAATCCCTGCTTTACAAACAAACAGGCATCACACCTGTATTTTTTAACTGCTGTACTGTATCTTGGCACAGGTGGAACTTGCCCCATATCTTTTGTTTAGAGTTAATTGCCACTTTTCAATTGTTCCTTGTCATCCCTTAGCTAAAAATTAGTATGTAATGTTTCTCATCTCCTGCTCTGAATTGGACATAGGACCACAGCCTCTGTCCTCAAGAAGCTTGAGGATAAAATATTTTAACCAAACTAAACTTGCAGTTAATCTAAGATCACTCCATTAAGTCGAAGTGAGACTTTGTCCAGTTTCCTGCTTTTAGTATTCTTGTTGATAAATGTGTCTTGATTATAATCTTAAACCTCTTCAGTTGTGAGTCTTCCTAATCTGAGCAGGAGTGCTCATATTTGAGTCCTGTTTGGAAACCTCAGCAAGTTCTTGAAACTCTGATATTCCAGGTATTTGCCTAAGGTTTTTAAAAGGTATCTTTGCTGGAAGAACTTGATTTTTACCCAAGGAAATGAGATTCCAGGGTAGAACAGAATGTCACTCTTCTACTTTGTTTTGCATTGAAACTGAAGACAAAATCAACCTGTTCTGTCCTTGGCAGATCTGCTGCTGAAACTGGCCAGCCATGAATAATTGATATAAATAGAATTATGTTCTGTTCCTTTTCTTATTAAGAGTGCTGATACAGCACAGGCACGAGACTGTGGAACTAGCTGTTGCCTTATAGTTCTATAAGCAATAACTAAATGGCATTTTGTGAGGTTACAAGACTGAACTTCAGTAAACTCCTTCTAGTGTGTGATGCAATACTATAATCTCCCTTACTATGCTTTCCAGTATATCGGAGTCCTTGAAATATGACCTAAAATAAACTGTGGTCAGCTACTGGGTCTTTTAACATTTCACTATAGACTACAGAAATAAAACCGCTACAAACCTAATGAGGAAGTAAGGGTAGTTAATAAAGAAATCCTGAGGTATATCTTTTGTGGTTGAAGGCTGTAAGAGCGTGGTTGTCCAGCTCTATATTTAGTCTGAAGTTCTATCCTTTTTCAGTTCTGCAACAAGTGTTTCTCTGAAAGCGTATCTGGCTTTCCAGTTAAATTAGGTGTTCTAATAAAAGATACTACTTTGCCTTTAAACCATTGCTAAGTATCAGTGGTTTATAGAACTTAAACTGTTTTGATTAAATAATTTACTGAAGTGTGTGTGTGTAGGAAGCAATTGTATGGGTAGACCTGAGTTAAAAAACTTCAAAACTAAACAAGTAGGATATAGTTATACAAACCCAAAAAAGGTGGGAGTGTGTGGAGCTGAAAGGGGTGAGGGGAACCCTTAAGAACTGCCTAACTCCTGAATTTTTCTAATACAGAGAAACTTTTTGTTTACTGAAGTATCTTTGCCTTTCTGCTTCTTGATGAAAAAGTGATTAAACATAACAATGTAAGAAGTTTCTCTGGAAACTTGCTGCTGAAAATTTTAAGAGCATTTTTTAAGCTTGGTTCTAATTTAGAAATAATATCCCTGTCTCCATTTAGAGTTTAAAATAAATAAAGAAAATAAAACTTCATCGGTGGAGTACTGTCATTGGGTGTATGTCTTAAGAACAGTACACTTCAGATAAGGTGCAAATATGAGACCCTTCCCTCCAAGTATTACTGATGCAATGTTTCAAAAAAAGAGAGTAAACATCAAAACTGTTGTTGCATCCAAACCTGAATGGAAAAGATGGGAAACTATGTATTTGGATTGTTATGCCACCCAACCAAATCTTGTGTAACAAAAGTGTGGTTGGAGGTGAAGAGGTGAAAATATAAAAAGCATAAATGGAGCTACTTTCACTTTCCACACTTTTTTAATGTCAGATTGATGGCTTGCAGGCAACTTTAAAAAGAACAGAAAGACTTGCATGTGCAGTTGTAATACTCTGAAGAAAAAAAATATTTCAGAAAGATTTAGTTTTCACTTAACACAGATAATTTTGATCATGTCTGAGACCATCTGTTTTTCATACCCATGATATTACATGACCTGTTCCTATCTAGTCTCCTATTTGAAGTTATGAACTGTTGATCCAGAATTATTCTGCTAATGATTTTTGAAAATATTTTCAGTGGAAGATGTGCATGCAGTACTTAATTTTTATGTAATTTTTTTTTATCCAGTTACAAAACTTAACGTTATCTCTAGGTGCAGTGATACTGCATATGAGGGCTACAGTATTAAGATGTGTATATTATAATGATAAATGTTATACACTTTAATTTTAGTGTTTTCTTTTTATTTCTTTCAGTTCCAGGAGACTTGGGTAATCAGCTGGAAGCAAAGTTAGATAAGCCGTCCGTAGTGCACTATCTCTGCTCTAAGAGGACAGACAGTTATTTTACGCTCTGGCTGAATTTGGAATTGCTTCTGCCTGTCATCATTGACTGCTGGATTGATAATATCAGGTAAAACCACAAATGTTGCTCTTTGCAGTTATTTCCTTTCCTTAGACTGACATGCTTTGTACAGAATGGCTGCCTTAAACTTTCTTTTCTGATTCAAGACCAGTGAGAGACATTACTTTGAATTCTGCTAGGTAGAGTAACAGGATGAATTGGAAGATGTGGCTCTGTTGCATTTGAGGTAGTTGTTCATCACTGATGAAAAGCAGAGGTTCTTTTAGTTTCTTCCACTTTCTTTCCTACCAGTTACTCAGTGTTGGTTTGGGCACTTATCAGACACTTCTGCAGGCTTATCTCAAGCAGAACACTTTCTGCTTTTTTGATGAGTTACTTAAGTTTTGATGAGGCAAGGGGGAAGGAGGTACATCGGGCAGCACAGAGGAGGCAGGCAGGGGGAATGCGAGCTTGCACTTCTGCTGGCAATGTGTCATTAGAGAGCAGTCTCGTGGGCAGCTGAGACACATGGGAGCCTCAGAGTGCAGTCTGGAAGTCTCTTTCCAGAATTACTTTGGTTTAAAACATTGCCTAATCTAAAGCTTCCAGACTAATTAATTGAACAATCTGCTTTATTAATGTTCCTGTAAAAATCATATAAACTATCTCTATGAAAACAAGAAATATTTAGCTTGTGTGATTTAAAAATACTGTACTGGTGTGTTGCTCTTTTATGTGAATATACCAAGCTGTTGTGTAGTTGTACCTCTGCTTTAAGTCTTGCTATATGCCTTACAGGTTAGAAAGATTTTTGGTGTGGGAAGATTTGAGTATCAATTCAGATTCTAAGACTCCATCTAGGGGTAAAAACTTGCATTCAGAAATGGCAATTGTATTGATATGGTATTAAAAACAGACAAACCCCCAATAACAATTAAAAAAAAAAATCCAACCCTGACCCAATGCTCCAGAGTCTTCATATCTCAAATTGATTTGAGAAGTATCCGCAAAACACTCAATACCTCTGTGTTTCCTGAAGTACCAATTGTTATTAGTCAAGAAATATCAAGTACTCCCTTGTGCTGGTATCGGTGTTCTAGTTAAACAGAAATGAATTATTTTTATCTAGAAGAATTTTTCTGATATCTGATTTTACAGGTATGTTATCTTCTACTGCCACATTCTTAAGTTCTTGACAAGTTTTCTTCATTGTGACTTGATGCAAAGTGAAATGGTATGGAACTGTATAAAGCAGCTTATATTCTAAAGTTGAAGTTCAGCCACAATCCTGTATACTCAGTTTTATAGAGAAGATAAGTCTCAGATTCTGCATGTAAAGCATTAAGCTAATTAAAAGAACTGTGTAAAAGAATTGTGTAACCTCTTAGCCATTAGAGTACTCTTACTATGTCTGCCTGGTTTTTATCTGGTTTATTTTGGTTTTTGTTTTTAATTTTTTTCTTCTGGGTAATAGTACTTAAAGTTCTTGTTAGTGCACTCAGACTGTAAGACCCAATGTAGTTGAGAGTTGTCACGTAGTACTACAACCTGATTCATGTTTTTCTCCTTTTTTTTTTTTTTTTTCCTTTTTCCCCCCAGGCTTGTATATAATCGAACAAGTAAGATTACAGAACCACCAGATGGTGTGGATATCAGAGTCCCAGGTTTTGGGCAGACGTTTTCCTTGGAATTCCTTGACCCAAGTAAAAGGAGCGTTGGTATGTACAAGCTGTGTCTGAAGTGCTTTGTCACTTACAGGATTTTTCTAGTGTGTCTTTATACAACAAGCTACTGACATGTGATGTCAAACTACAGTTCTGTTTAGAAGTAGAAAAGCAGATTTTTTTTTTGTAGTAGGGTAGCACATGGCTCACTTTGCTTTTAAGTGTTTTCAGTGCTTTGTATTGTTTTTGTCTGTTTGGCCTGAGAGATTGAAACAAGAAGATTCCATGTTATTTAGTCTTGTGCCAAATTTAAATTTTCTGGATGAAACTTGAGTAGGCACTTTGAAGACAGACACTTTTGGAAAATGAGATGTATTGAGTAGAAAATCCTGTGACTGAAGCTTGACAAGCAAAAAAAAAGAATAGAAGCACTTCATTTCAGCTTAGTTCTAAGTAAGATGTTCTTTGGCCTTAAGAATGGGTTAATGGGCATGGAAGAGATGGTACTACATTCTGTAGTTTCTGGTCTCTTGTCAGTGTCAGAATAATTCTATAACTACATTTCTGCTGCAAAATATTTCTGCATTGATGTATTTGTAGATTTTCTGTTTAATGTTTTCGTAGAAGTAATCTTTAAGAAAACACTGAATCTGCTAAGCTTTTGTGAGTTGTTGTTAGCTGTGGCTGAAGACTTAAGTAATTTAATAGTCAGTAATGCACTCAGCTTCACATGTTTCATAGCGTGGTTTTCTCTTTCTTTTCTGTAGGGACCAATCCCCAGAAGGGCAGTAATGTGCTTAATGAGCTTTACTAGATGACTCTTGTAACTAGAACAGGGCCATATTTAAAATTGCCTATGTTCACTTCAGGGGCTATATGATAAGTGTTCAAGATGAATGAGTGAGATTCTGCTCAAAACTTAATTATGACTGATATTCAATAAGATGTTTTGTCACTTAATTTTTCAAACTGCTACTAGATGCATTTAATTGTGGTAATTCTTACAACCTACATGTGTCAAAGCTTGTAATATGTAACATCTTTCAATATATAGGTAGTCTGTAAACATTTCCCTTCTTTGCTATTAAAGCATTATGTTCAATTACTTAAGTCTTAGTCCACTACCTGATAAATACAAAAATACTTCTGGGGTAGTTTCCAAAATTTTGCCCTGGGGTACACTGTAAGCATTTGTTTCCAAGAATAAATGTTGGTGAAGTCCAGGCCAACCTTTATGAATCATAGAATCATTTGGTTGGAAAAGATCTTTAAGATCATCAAGCCCAACAGTACTTGTTCTCTATTAAACCATGTCTCTAAGCTCCTCAGCCACCCGTCTTTTAAATATCTCCAGGGATGGGGACTTGACCACTTCCCTGGGCAGCCTGTTCCTGTGCCTGATAGCCCTGTCAGTGAAGGAATTTTTCCTAATATCCAATCTAAATCTCCCTTGGCACAATGTATTATATACCCTACCTGAAGCTAATCTGCAATCAACAAAAGCTAGGAGACTAATGTAGTAATTCTGAGGTGTGTTCTTTACAGTTCAAGGGTAAGATGCATTTCTGCTGAGGAGAATTTGTTCTATGTGTGCCTTTTTTGCTGCCATACTTCTTTGATAGATCAGCCAGCTAGTAAGAAGTTTTAATAATGGTATTCTTTCACTTTTGGGGGACAGCGAGCATAATTCATTTGGTTTAATATGCAGCTTTCTAGATTGTCAAAGACTAAGACTACAGTTTTAATGTCTATATATAGTATCAGAGATAATGCCTCCAGAACTTTGTTTTGTGATAGTGTCTGACAGCTGCTTCTAATGCTAGTCTTTTCACTGTTCTGTTTATCTCTTATCTCATGTCTACAGGCAGTTACTTTTATATGCTGGTGCAGAGTTTAGTAGATTGGGGCTACAAACGTGATGAAGATGTAAGAGGAGCACCTTATGACTGGCGAAAGGCACCAAGTAAATAACATATTGCTACTTGAATGAAATTTTGACTTTCTCAGCCAGCAAATAATCTTTTGGGTCTCTTGTACAATTATACTTAAAACATTAATTTTGATTAGTTCTTGGGGCCTGGGTACCCCTGGACCCAGATGAAAGCTCCGTGATGTGGTTTCTCTTTTTGCTTTAAAGAACTTGCTACTTTAAGACCCTTAAAAACAAAACAACAGAAAAACCCACACCACCAAAACACATCCTGACAAAAACACCCTCCCCTCCAACTTAATACTGGAATTTCTAAGCTCTGCATTATTAATTCTGCAGACAGTTTAAAAAAATAACCTTTTAAAGAATTGTGTTGAAGTTCAGCATTCACAATTAGTAATTATAACTTTGTAACCTATGTATGTCTACTTTAGATGAGAATGGAGACTATTTTGTGGCCCTTCGCAAGATGATAGAGTTGATGTATGAGCAGTATGGAAGTCCTGTTGTCTTAATTGCCCACAGTATGGGTAATATGTACACCCTCTACTTCCTCAACCATCAGACTCAGGATTGGAAAGACAAGTACATAAAGGATTATGTGTCATTAGGCGCTCCATGGGGAGGAGTGGCTAAAACTCTCCGTGTGCTGGCTTCAGGTAGGTAATTTGAGGGTTTGCAATGTATTTTGTTAGTAGTGTAAGGTACTAACTAGACTGCTAACTGTAAGGCTGGAGGATGAGAGTTTAAGGTACCATGGTGCTAAAAGTAATTTTTCCATAAGTCATGGCAATTTTAGGTTTCAAGCCTTGTGACCAATCTGTCATTCTTTACATTCATGGGAGTGGGCTAAGTTTGGTGTGTTTTATGCCTTAACCAGGAGCTGTGTCCCCTCTTGACCCCTCCTAACTTCTTTTCAGCAGATTGTTGTGTCACCTGCTGTTTGGCCTGGTGTCTTCTATTTCTGTCCCTTCTGCCTTCAGCCTGATTGTTCTGTTCAGTATTGCAAAGCTAACAAGGATTCAGAGCATTCAGTAGTTTCCTTTGATTAAAGAGCAGACAGCTGCTTGAGGTTAACATTAAGGGAAACTTGTAGACGTGGTGGAGTGGTGCCCACAGCACAAATGCCTGTCAAAAATTGTAACTGTACAGATAAGGAAAGTGAATCTTTGAGACTTAGCATGCTGGATATGCCTGAGTCTAAAAAAAAAAAATATTGAATAAAGCAGCATAACACATTCCACTAAGTAACTGCAAATGACTGATAGAAAAAGTTCACTCACCCCATCATGTGATACCATAATTATTTCATGCACATTTAGTCCATGATGTTTCTGGCTTGTTTTTTAGCTTGTTTCTGACTTGTTAGCTTTGGATATCGCTAGCTTTTCTCTAAACAAAGCTGACACAGCAAGTGCCAGCCATGCATGGACAGATCAAAGAATGCTTTGCTTAGCAAAGGCATTTGATTCTGAATAGTAGCGCACAGTTCAGTTACTAATTAGAAAACTTAAATTGGATGGTTTTATTGAGTTAATACATGGTTAAATCTATTGCAGTGGCATTGTGCATACTGATTTCCCTTTTACCACCGGCTTCATCTGATAAGTTTGCACGCTACAGAAATGGCAGGAAGTGAGCAATGTTAATATTGCCTTCATAAAATACCACAGTCCCAGATTTCTGTTGGATTAAACTTTTGTGCTTTGTATCTTGTTCCTTTTATAATATCTCATCCAAAGTGGCTCGCTATACAAATCCATAATAAATAGTTAAATTTCTACTAAAATGTAGAATCTTTTAATCTGTATGTCTGTTGTACTACATTCTGTGTTGCAGAGCAGAAATTTAAGAATCATGCAGGAAAGTTAAATGAGGTGGTAAATGTGCTGAGCATAGTACAGAACCTGATCAGTAAAATTAATAGCTCTGTTTTGCCAAACTGCATTTAGGCCTTGCCACATTAACTTGGAGTTACTGTACTCAGTATTCACCTCATGGTAGAACATATCAGAATGCATATGTTTAAGGCTGGTTCTGTCTCAAATGTCTGTAGTAAATAACCACCACCAGGCATTAACACTTGGATTACATTAGTCTATTAAAGAGTTTCTAAAATTGACATTATCAGGGTGTTAGTATGCAGAACAACTGACACTTTTAAGAAAAATACTGCATTGCTGCAGGAAATACAAGGCAAGCTATGAATGCATTCTTTCTGTTCCCATTCCTGTTTATAATATGGTAATGGCCAGGAACTTCATGTCAAATCCATAGTTGTGTTATCAAAGTGGTAAACAGTACACAGGTAGAATTATTTTCTCTAGATCTGTGACTTTCTGCTACTTATTCATGTGCTTTGCAGGATCAGTACTTATAATGTTAAAATTCCAGTGCCAATAAAAAGTGAGGATGTTCTTCCCACTACAGTGAGCAAAGACACAAAGTTCACTGTGGTGGTTTGTTTGATTTTTTTTTTTTTTTTTGTCAGCTGGAGATGCTAGCAGTATCTTCCTTAGACCTAACATTTTGTTCACTATAATGTGAATGAGTGCTGGGTCTGCTGACTCAAGCGTGGTCTCGGCCATACAGTACTTCTGTACTTCAGAGAAGTAAAAGATTTGTAGCAGGTCTGCAAGAGAAGGTTGGAATAGTCAGGTTCTGTGTTTGATTATTCTACTGGAAATAAATTCTGTGCACATTCCTTTCATTGTTCAATTCAGGACTCAGGCTTTCTTTGCTGAAAACTGCCAAGCAGTGATCAGTAGTTTAGTAGTGAGCGTGCCCAGTTAAGTATTTACACCACATGGTAATATGAAACCATTTTTCAGGACCTTTGTGATTCTTGCTGTGTTCTTTTCAGTTCCCTTTTTATCTGTTTAAGAGTTACACTAGCAATGTTTCCATGTAGTCCTCCTACAGATGGCATTGCCGCTGAAGCAATAGTGCCACCTTATGGAATTGAAAAATATACTTTGGTGCTATTTCAGGAATAGTGGTTTCAGTATTTCAATTTTTATGGTGTGGTTGACCTGCATCACCACATGTTCTAACCACTCGGACCTAATAATGGAAAAATCTCATTCAAGATTCAGTTGACAAAAGAATTGAGGTATGCCAGCCATTGTGATAATGAAAAATATGTCTGATCAGACAGTCACCATGAAAAGAAACGCGGATCTGTCTCAGGGCTTTTCTTTTTAATTTGTTTCTAGTAATCACTATATCTGCCATTTATTAGGCAGCTTTTAATTTTGTGAAAATGCAAGAACAATGGTTAAAATATGAAGAAAGATGCATATAAATTATCTTAGTCATGTTAGTTTGAGCCATCTTTGGAACACACTGCTAAAAAACCAGTGGACTTGATGTCTACAAAAAAATCTTAATGTTTTTGTCAAACACTAGTTCTGTAACAAAAATAAGTCTAAATTTGGTGAAACATACCCAATAAACCACAAAATTGTTATCTGATAAATTAACACCCTTATTGATAAGGTCTAGCTCTCTAGATTTATATTATATTAAGAAAATAGAATGCTGTGGAAAAGCTTGGCCAGCTGAAAATATTTCCCAAGTATAGTAATTATCAATTGGTCTTTCAAGAATTATTGGTTTTGTCTGTGTTTTCCCCCTTCTGTGACAAAGATGTAGCTTGTTACTAGAGTTGCTAGGAAATTAGTGCTAATACACATTAGAAAGAACCTCTGTTCTGAGCAATACAAGTATTTTAGCAGCCTTTAAATGCTTACTGGATGGGAAGATGCTGATATTGGTGGTTTTTTCCATGGCTTCCACCTATCCTGGTTTTGGCTAGGATAGAGTTAATCTTCCTAGTAGCTGGTGTAGTGCTGTGGTTTCGATTTAGTATCAGAATAATGTTGATAAGGCACTGATGTTTTAGTTGTTGCTAACTACACCACCACTAAAGCTAACAAGCTTTAACTCCTCTGCTGAAGTATTACATGTAGAGACAGAATTGGTAATTGAGTGCAGCATTCTTACTTGACAGCATAAGCATAGATGGTAATACTTGCTTTGCTTCTCTTTCCTTTATGACAAGTTATCTTTTTGGGTAACTATTAAGAGTCTGCCATTTTCTTTCAATTGTAGGCATGTTCTGGTAGGTTTCCTTATGAAGGGAATGCATAAACTGGTAAAACACTGCCACATGGTAAATAAACCATGTAGTAATTTTTATAGCTATCCTGAATGAAATACTGCTATTCTGTTTTGAATGTGTGAAACTATAAACATTTTGTTAAGCCTCTAAAGTATCTTCATGAATTCTTGAGTGTGTGTGTGTATATAGTAGTATTTACCTGTTCTTTCAGCAAAAATGTGATCTAGGAACCAGAATCACTGTAAAATACACTTCCAGAAGAGCATATAAGACAAAACTTTCAAATGGTACCAATAATGCCTAGTAAAAGCTGATTTCTTACTTGGCTAACAAAGGGGAAAATATTTCCTATAAAAAGGAGCCTATTGGAAAGGCAGCAGTGTTCTTGGTTTCTCAGTCATTCTTTCATCAATTTGTATTTAAATTTGTAAGTTGTTAGAAGTTTGCACAAATTATAAAGACAATCATAAATGAGAAAAAGCTTCTCAAATTGTCACTGTAAGCAAAGGGAATATTTTTATTCATGTTATCACTGTGACTGGTATAATTGCTGCTGGTTGAGATTCATGCTTTGCTTTGCGTATAATGAAATTCCCCTTTTTTTAAGGTGACAACAATAGAATACCCGTTATCAGCTCACTCAAGATTAGGGACCAGCAGAGATCAGCTGTTTCCACAAATTGGATGCTCCCCTACAACTACACATGGCCTCCAGATAAGGTCTTTGTAAGCACACCTACAGCTAACTACACTCTTCGGGATTACCAAAAATTCTACAGGGACATCAATTTTGAAGATGGCTGGCTCATGAGACAAGAAACTGAACCCCTAGTCTACCAGATGACACCACCTGGTGTGCGCATACACTGTCTTTATGGTACTGGTGTGGCAACACCCGATTCCTTCCATTATGAAAGTTTTCCTGACAAAGAACCCAAGATTCTTTTCAGTGATGGGGATGGTACAGTAAACTTGCAGAGTGCCTTGCAATGTCAAAAGTGGGTGGACATGCAAAAACAGGAAGTGGTGATATTTGAGCTTTCAGGAAATGAGCACATTCAAATGCTATCCAATGATACTACTATCTCCTATGTGAAAAAGCTGCTTTTTGATTTGTGATACCTTGTGTTGACAGTTATTTTCCTCACCTGTGATGCCTTTCCTTAAATATGGGAAAATGCCTTTTAATCCCTTGATATTTAGATATTTGAATTATTTATTTTGTGGGGTTTTTAAGGCTGTGTTCAAGAAGTTGTTTGTCCTAAATGATCATTTGTCTCTGATTTGTGTTTATGATGCTTCGCAGTATTTTCACATTCTGCAAATTTGGTCAAATATGCATTTTGGTGCCTCTGGTGTTGTGTCCAATATTCACACAGACTTCTGTCTGGAGATTGTACAGCCCCTTGGCACATAGTACATAGTCATAGATACCTGAGTTCCTTTGTCTTTGCAGGGTTTAGAGTGGGAGGGCTAGGAAGGATTGCAATTTCAGATGCCCATAAAACAAGGGCATGATATTAATTTGGGAAGCACAGTAAACTATTTAAAGGGTCTTGCATAGTCTGATCCACAGTTTCCAGTACCTTAGTTCAAAAATGTGCATATCTACTAGGGATAGATAGGGAAGAGGTCTGCCTGCTACCTTTGTCATAAGCCAGCCTGTCTTTTATTACAGCTTTTGGGGAAAACGATAGATGTGTGAATTACTTGAAGCTTCTTGTTATGTACCTCTTTGTGGGTGGTTTTGTTAAGAAATTGTTTGCTCATCAACTTCTAGAACCTGATTACATATAATCTGGAGTCTGAGGAATTTTCACCTTATGCTTTATTTATCAATGAGGGAAAGAAGCTAAACAGTGGTTGGTGCTCACAATAACTAGCTGTGTGGAGTAGCACATAAATTAAAAAAATTAAAGCTAATTGAATTGAATATTGGCAAACAATCCATACAGTGCAGAGTTGATTTCTGGGAGAAAAAAGATCTCCTGTAGTGGAAATGGTAATGGATGGTGGGCATTTATTCAAAAAGAGTGAATTTCCTGAAACGGGGTGAGGAATGGAAGCCAGCGTAATACAGTATGAAGTAGAAACCTTGTTCTCAGTCAAATACTTAAGCTCTGATCCAGTTACTGACCAAGCAGACATTGGATAGACATTGTCTTCAGCTGAAAAGAAACTTTACATTTTAAGACTAAAATTAATTTCAGTTGGAAGTTTCACTATTGCTGTTTCAAGAAGTTGGGATACACTGTTCCTCAAATGTTTCTGTAAATTGCCGAATATGTTAACTTCATACAGTATTGTTTTACTCAATGTTTAAAAAAATTCAACTCTGAACTCCACAGTCATGATAGCCTAAAGGCTGTCACATTACAACCTTGATTACAGAAGTCTTGTTGGAGAAATAGTTTCACTCAGATTCTCTCTTGCTTGTTTTAAAACCACTCACACAGTTAGACTGCACTTAGTTTTCTGAAAACACAATTTTGAATGCTTTCAAAATGCTAGGTCCTCCAAGAAGAATGTTTTAAAGAGTTTCAGAAATTAATCAGAACTATTGAGGATTCATTACTTAAGAAACTGAAGTTCTCTAAAGAGGAAAAGCTTTTAACTATTTTGGTAGCATGCATAAAATGCTTGGTGCCATTAAATGTATGAGTAAGATGTGTTGAAATGACAGGCTTGAACTTGTTACTGTAGAACGCAAACATTTTGGCACAGGATATAGGTTTAAGGCTTTAAGTTTTAATTCAGAAATGACTCGTAAATCCAGAGCAACTTGAACTTGGGTCATGGATAAGCTAGATCTTAACTTCCTTGTGTAGCTTCCTTTCCCCCCTGCATTTTCCCTATTACTTTTATTGAAGGAGAGTATACATTTTCCTGATTTTTTTTTAAAAGGGAACACTTATCTTGTCCTTAGTTGCCCAGGAAACTACAGTTCAGCAGTGATATTGCCTAGACTTTTCCAGAATAAGTACTGAGTTGCCTCAAGCAATTTGTAATTGGTAACCGTTGGAAAAAAACAAACCCAAACAAAAACAATCCTTTAGCTAAGTGTTCTATTTTATGCAGGGCTGTCAGCTGGATAAGCTTCAAGCTTGTGTTCCAAGACTGCTCAAAGATGATAAAGCTCTTCCTGTGGTCTGACTCAATTTTTGAATGAACTTCTATGTTACTGGTTTACAACAGAAAGAAATTACAGAAAACAGCTTATCACAATCTGTATTTCTTGCTGAAGTAGAATGTCTGTAAAAAGCACTGGAATAAGTGGAGCTGGAGGCTGTATTGCAGGGCATCAAGGGCTGAAAAAATGAGGGAAAACATAGGTAAACAGTTCTTAACCTGATCTGGAGAATGTTTCTAAGCTTCATTTAGATCCTTACCAATTAATCGGTGGTGTTTTCAGTCTCATACTGAGAGTTTAGCTTCAGGTTTTTTTGTGATTTGAAGTTCCAAAAGATGCTCTTTTTTCTTATTCTTTCTTCCTTTACTACTTCTTGTGCCCCAAAAGAAAAAAAAAATCTCTTTCTAATTTTGGCAACCTAGTACTGTGTTTCTGAGGCCAGTCGATTGATCTTTTAACCTAAAGATTTGTAAATAAGCTGTCCATTAGTAGACAAGCCCTAGAGACTCTAAATAAACTTGTGTTGGTTAACCTGGTAAAATGAAGCTGAAAGCTTTTCAGGGCTTTCTCTTGTTTTGTTTTTATGTTTGTCACTATAAAGCCTTGTGCAAGAATGTGCATATCTGAGTTCTAAGTACTGTGTTAGAGCAAGCACAGTGCTTCTGGTGAGGTTTTGATTGGATGTGATGGTTCTGTGGGCTATAGTTCTGTTTTGTGTCCAGAAGTTTAATTTTTTTTTCTAACAAGTAATCTTCAGTCCTTTCATTTTCAGTTTCTTGCATATTAGGATGGAGTTTTCATTGCACAGTGAATGCAGCAAGTAAACTACATGATTCTAGATGGTGAACCTGAACCACTTGGCATGTTAAGTGCTTACTTGCTACAGCATGTTCTCCTACAAGGCAAGAGTATTTAGCATTAATGTTACAGGCCTGCTACAGCCATATGCACTTCAGTATTCTAGATTCTTGGGGGGGGGAGTGGTCTGAAGAAATAAATCTTTAAGGAAAGGAGAATGTGGCACTTCCTTAAAAGGAGTAACTCAGGTGCTTTGCCACACTGCACAATTGAAAAGTTTGAATTTACTGATGTATCTTTGTTATACCTAACACATATCAATCATGTCTCTCTTTCCATAGTTTTTACTTAGTTTTATTCTTCCAGGATATTTTGAGACCAAAAATTGTCTTGAGGACCAAATGTATTTCTTTATTTTGACAAAATATATAGAAAATGCAGAAGAAGCTTTTAGCTGTCATTGTAATACTTCTGAAGAGGTTCAGAGTCACTATGTGATTCTGTTTAAAAACAGAAGGCTTCAATAACTAGCAATAATTGCAAAGGAGTTGCAGACCAAAGGAAGGAATGTTTGGTATTAAGGTAGTTCTTGGAGCACAATGTGTTCAAGGCCCTCTTAAATTCAGGGAATATTTGGCAATGACTTTGCTGCTCTACACTTCACAGTATTTTGTACAGAACATATTCTGAGACCTAGCATTTTATATGCTCTTTTCGTGTATGAATGCGTTCAATAGATTTTGAATATTTTATTGTCAAACTTTGATAACATAATAAAGTTGATCTAATATAGCTTGCCTCATGTTGTTAATAACATCTCACTGCTCAGATGGAATGTCAGCTTGTTGCTGTTCTTCCCCATGGATTCTTGGTGTCTCACTTTCTCACTGTAACTGCTTCTTGGTTCATTTTCCAAATGCACCTACTGTCTTGTGGTACATCTGGAGTTTGCTGTTAATTGTTCTTGAATTTATAGATATGTGGGACTGAGATTACTGAAATTACTCGATTCCTTTTCTTTGCTTCTTTCTTGCTCATCTCATATGGGGGGGGGGGGAAGAGTTCTTGGGATGCTTCATGCTTCTGTTAAGGTCATAATTTTGAAATTAGTCCCTCAATCCTGAAATGTCCTAAACGCTTGCAGTTGCCTTTATACTGTTGGTTTCCAAACTGATCCACAAACCCATGCATGTTGACCATACAGTTTCATGGCTGTATGAAACAATCTTTTTCAGTTAAAAATTGCATTGTTGCTCTGAAGAAACTTCAGTGGTAGACAATGATTCTGTAGGGCAAAAAACAGTGGAAATTATCTCCCTTATTGAAGTAATCTAAAAGCCTGTTGGGCAAGTGTAAGGCCTCTGGTGGCTGGCCTGGATGCTTCACTAACCTATAGTACAAATGATTGCTTATAACTGTTGAGAAAGAAGAAAAAATTATGAGGCTGAAACTTGCTGGGGGGGAGGGGGGGCTTTTTTTATGTGATGATAGACTGTAATCCAAGATGAGTGTTAGTGACTGCTGCTCCTCTTTATGCCCTAGATCCCTATTAATTGGACATCTTGTACCAGTATATTACTTGTTCAAACCTTCCTCAATGTTCATTGACCCTATATGATTTTTAGGAGAAAGGGGGTCATGTGGCTTTATTCCAGCTCTCTATTAAAATGGGGAAGTCCTTCACTAAAGCATTGTGCCAATTCTTGGAAGAAGCTGGGAAGAATGAGAGCACAGGGAATGGAGAACAGAATGATTAATGGGGCCTGGCTAGAGTGATGCCAAGCCATGTGGAAGGCTGGTGTCCTGTGTAATGCTAGAATATTGATGTAACACTGGTGCATCTTTAAAATAACAAGGTTATAGTTGCATACTGCATGGTGCTATTTTGCTGTGCTAGCTTAAACGCTTACTTTAATGATGGGACTATGGTTTTGAGAAATTATGACTCTCTCTTTTGCTTGAATTACAATTTTCCTCTGAAGTTCTAGCTTAAGTTTCCTTTGTTTTAAGACTAATTGATTTTGTGGTCATTTGGATTAACAAATGAGAGTGAAGTGGAATATTTAGTTCTCAAATCAGCATTTTTCAGGCAAAAGTAGAATGTAATATGAGCCCAAGAAATCAAATTAATATGCAATGTTTTATTCAAAACATTGATGTTAAATTTGTCTTAATGATTTCTCCATATTGATGTTGCTTGCCAACTTCTTGTTCTAAACCATGCAGCATCTGAACAGAATATCCCAATGTTGAACTCTTTTCCTTCTCATGTAACAGGTGATCACTAATTCTATGTGAAATAGTTCAGCAAAGTACCATCATTTCAGCTTTTAGGGATTAGTTCTCGAATAGTTGAAGCTTAAGTTATTGCCTCCACCCCAGCAGATTTGGAAGCACTAGTGGATCATACTAGTACTTCTAGTGTTTTTGCAGGTTCTGTTCAGTTTGTTACTAGTTAAAGCACATCTTACCACTTATAGTACTGCTTGCACTTTCTCAGTATTTAAAGGTGCCTGATGTGGATCAGTGTCACTCTCCACTAACCACCACAGAAAACAATCTGTTATTTCTAGAATTATCTCTGTGTACTGGAGCAAATTCTTAAATTTAAGTTTTAAGCAAATACTGCATAGCATGTTACTGGGGCTGGGAGGAGGTAATTTTAAATGTTAAGGTACTGGAAAGCCAAATTATAAATAAAATATTTTTGTAGCCTTGTAAACTGTTACAGAGCAGCTAATGAACTAATGAACACTTGTACTTGTGTTACCCCGATACATAAATACTTGGCCTATTTACAAAATTTCTTTTATGTGAAGGAAAGCAAATAGTGATGTGAAAAAAGTGAGCTATCTCCCTTTGTAGAAAGAATGTTTAGCATGAAATAGAGAGGGGGGGAGAAAAAGGCTCAGAAGCTGGAAAAAAGTAGGAAAGCACAGTAAGCTAAAATAAGATGAACAGCAGTAACAAAAAGTCCCTAATGAAAATTGAAAACTGAATCACTTTAGGAGATTAAAACTGCAAATAGAAAATACATTTTTATGCCTTTAAGAAAGCAATCCAATTAAAAACTTTCTTTGAGGATTCTTCAGCAGCCTAACTAATGCAATGACTATCAGTTTCAATGGACTTCATGACTTTAAGGAAGCCATGTTACACACTTTATATATCAGCCTGAGTTTGACTACTGTGGCTTGAATAACTTAGAAATCTAGGCTTTTGTAAAACAGGGCCATCTGACAAAGTTAGCTTGCATTTGTGTGTACAGTATTGAGCCTTACTAGTGAAAAACACTTGATCATTTTGCTAGTCTTTGGCAACTGAACTAAAAAACCAAACCCCCCAAACCATAAAACATGCCCACCCCCAATCCCTCAATGATGTGACCACATCTTGAATGTCTTTTGATATGTGTTGATAAGAGAACCAAAATGACAGACTTCCTATCTGTTACACTTCAACAGCATTGTTACTATATGCACCAAAGACTAGATGCCTTGGTGGAAAAGGTGTTAAGGTGAGTCACTGTTTCTTACCCAGGCTTCATAACCACAATTGAACTGCCCACTTTTTCTTGCTTTATGGTAATTCCAGGGCTACATTAAACTTAGACAATGTTTGCACAATATTTTGGAATATGTTAGTATACTCAAACATTCAAAAACCAAACTGTTCTGCCTTTCTTTCCCCAACCTCATGAAACTGTAAAGATTGCTTACAAATTCAGAACTTGTAACAGAAGAAAATGGGATTTTCTCAGTGGCCAATGGCTTTTGAGTTTTTTGTGGGGGTTCATTTAAATCTTCTGTTTTAAACATGAGGGCTTAGAAAGGTAATGGATTTTTAATGGAGAGGAATTATTGAAGACTCGATGTCATGATCCTGAGGCTGTAAATGCTTCATCAATTTCTTATGGAAATTTTCAGAAAGTGTATATCTACTTTGTTTGGAAATACCTGGGAAGTTTGGAATTCAAACATTGGTGACAGTATCTAAAATCATAGCTTCCCTCCTGGAGTACGCTGTTGCTTGGGTTAAAATTCTGTGTGCCGGGGACTCTTTTTGCCATCAAAATCAGTATTTATTTCACTCCTGGGAAGTATTCATAGGAATGCAAGCA